ATTACTTTCAGAAGTTCGACACAAGAGGGGGGAAGTTCTTGGGGTTGAAGACCGTTTTTTTTATAGAGAAATTCAAGTAGAGGAGGAGAAATTTTTGCTTAAAGGCCTTTTTTTATAAAATTGTCGCGGGACCCAATCTGGAGAATTGTCCTGGGGCCCGACCTGGCTCTCGGCGGTCCTGATCGTAATTTACCTAATCGTTGTAGTAATTAGTTTGGGCTTTATGAAAACGGAGTAATAATTGTGGTAATTATAGTAGGTACCAAAGAAATTAACAATATTAATAAAAATCACAATGGGGTCTATTCTGTAACACTTCCTTTATATTTTAACGGCCGTTAAAATATTGGCGGCCTTTAAAAATATTTTTGTATACACTAACTTACTTCCGTCATTATTTAAACGGATTCCTTTAAAATAGTCCTCAAATAACAATCATTTTTAAAGGGATGTTAAAATTCGCCTTTAATTTTGAACGGTTTTGAATTGAAAATTGAGGATTTGTATAGTTCTTTCCGAACTAGTTTAAATAAATCTTAAATGTGATGTTGTCAAATGTTCTGCCATTTTTAAGGGAATCCGTTAAAATAAATAATTTTTAACAGGCCTCTAAAATTTGTGTATACAGAATAACATTTTTGGTTAAAAAATTAAGGGTCCGCTAAAAGTTAAATTTTTAAAGGCCTCTAAATTTTAACGGATGTTTTACAGAATAGACCCCAATATATATTTAAAATTAAAAATAAGAAAGATACCTAAATATATAGACTTCTTTTTGTGTGCAAATTTTCGTCTAATCTTCAACCTCAGATTCGTCACTGCTGCTACCGCTATCATCAAAATTAATTATGATTGATTCAATACGGTTGTCTACGTCCCATATTTTTTGCTCTTCTTTTAAAACATGCTGAATGCATCTGCAGAAACATTTTGAATGGCTTCTTGTAGGAATTGTTGTACGTCCACTAATTTAAATGTTCTGTTTCCTCTTCTCGTGCCACATATCCTTTTACTTGCGCCCAGATTAATTAGGTTTAATTCGCAGTGGTACGGTGGTAATTCCACGACTTAACGTCATTTCATCCACTTCAAATTTTTTGTCTGTAATTTTGTTAGCTGAAGTAGTTCTGCCTTTAAGCTATCTTTTTTATATTGGATGTTTTTATTAATTAACCATTCTTGAATTGTTTCAATAATGATTCTAAATGTTCATGACGACGTCAGACCCAGGTTCCACAAGTTGAGTGATGCCTTCAAATCATTTTTAAAACACCTCTGCATTCATCTCTTCATGATAGTCGCCTGTTTTCTTAGATTTAAATATTAATTCACCATTTGGTAAAAATCCACTGTCGCTTCCTATATGCGTAATTATCAGACGACTACCTTTTCCAGACGGCTGTTTTAACCCAGTTATACTTGTTATATGGCCATCCTGCCACACTTTTTTTGAGCATATGTCATATTTTTTTTGAGCTTCCGAAATTCGTCAATTTTTCTAAGATAATTTTTTCTCCATACTATTATGTCTTGACGTTCAATGAGAATGCTTTTCCTGTCGATTTTTCCGTATGTAAATTTAATTTCGTGTAAAATTTTCCTCAAAGTTTCTTTACTCATTTGTGGGACCAATTCATGATCACTAACTGCCTTCATCAACTGTGATTTTTTTTCGTCCGCTACTACTTTTTGGCGTTTGTACTTCTCCATGAATTTTATTTTTTCTTAGTATTTCAATGATTTTGGTACACCCTTATAATCAGAGCACATATCAACTAATTTATCTTTTGCAATTGTGGAAGTTAATGATGTTGGAACGCCCGGTTGGTTATTTGGAGATACACGCGTAAAATTACAGCACATATGCACTAAGTCATCTTTTGGTCGCTGATGATCTCTTTCAAGACAGTGAAATACTCGAAGTACAATTTGTTTTTAACTTAGCGACCAAAACTTCGACCATTTCACCTTTTTCGAAGTTAAAGGCCCTGCAATGTCCCCCATTTTTTGAGTAGTTTTAGAACGGTGTAGAAATATAATTATTTAATGTTTAAACACTTATTAGCACTATTATTTTTACTAATTGTTATCACAACACGTCGATTACTTACTAACTTAACTGTAAAACTTACCATTCACGCTGTATAATTCAAATCCCGATGATATGATCGTGGTTGCAAGTACATTACTGACCACTGCATCGATGAGATGGATTTTACGCGAAACTGACAAAGACACAAATATCGTTCCGTACAGCGTTGCCATTAGTTGTAAGAAAGACTGAACAATATATAAAATACATTAATGATCAGGGGTGGGATTCCGTTCGGTGTCGAGTAACTCGACCTCGATACGATTCATAATTCTATCGAATTATGAAAAGCGATTCTATAGTCTCTATCTGTTTTGACTTCGGAAATCTTCAACTCTGATTTTATATAATTGCAATTCCGTTAAACGAAATTCGACAATAAACTCGATCAAATAACTCGATAGCTCTAGAGTAGTCGATTCGATATCAAATCATTAAAGTTGAATTTTTTTGACATTAGGTATGAACCTTTCCTGCAGCAATGTGCCTTTTCTGAATAATCTCTCCTTGCATTAAGGGCCTTATTGTCTCTATTAAATATATACAAGGTCATTACTATTTTATAGGGACAGTATCTGTAACTTGTCGAGGGTTGGTTAACTCATGACATTTAGGTCTCACTAGGCTCATTGTTCATCCTCCCAATTAGATAGGTACCTACTAGCTCGTGAGTCAGGGACAGTATTGCTATTTCTTAAACGGTAACAGATAGAAAAATGGTTGAATTTGATAAAAGTTGCACAGTTTTGTGCTTATTCAAATGGTGCCAGAAAACGTTTGATATATACAAAGAAATATATCTGACAAAAACGAATGAATGAATTTTAAGAAATGACAATTTTCATTTTTTTTCCGAACTTTCCCTATATATATATCAAAGGTTTCTTGGCACCATTTTAATAAGCACAAAACTGCGTAACTTTTCTCTTATTTAACCAACCTTCTATCTGTTACCGTTTAAGAAATAGCAACACTGTCCCTATGAAATAGTAGGGACTCTGCATACCCCACTTGAAACATCAATAAGAGGATTTTTAATTACATAAAACTCTTTAAAATATACATTAATAAAGGTAGGTAATTTTTATTCAGCCGAAAAAGCTATCCACAGCGATTTTCAGAGAGTTCGAAAGGATCGCTTTTTCCCTTAGGTCATTCCCTTTAGCACAAAGCACAATAATATTAAATAATAATATTTTTGCAATTTACCCCATTAAGGGTAATCCCTGTAACTCTGAAAGCATAGCTGGTATCGGGGAGAAACAATTGTATTATTATTTTCCATGGCGCTCCGCGGCAACTTACAGATATTTAAAATATAAATGAAAACACTACGAAAGAACTCCACCCATAAGAATAAAACCTAATAAATAATTAACGTTAAGACTAAAGAAATACAATTTAAGTTTTGTTGTTTGACGTTTAAAAGTCAGAATAGTTTGAATGCTTCATTATTTTGTCGAATTTCCGAAGATTTCCGAAGTCGAAACAGATCGAGTTATAGAATCGCCTTTTTTAATTCTATCGAATTAGGCATTCCAAACAAATGAATTACCAGTGGGCAGGTTTGGTATATCTAAGGGTGGCGACATATGGTGTATTCTATCTATTTTACGTAAAATCATGAATAATGGATTACATTTAAATATTTTATGTCAAACACAATAAAAATAATATTTAAAAAACCCACCTATACATTTCTTCATAAATTGGCAGGCTTGGCGAGTACTACTTCGAATAAAAATAGCGTCCAAGTTGCAAGACTATGTCGCTACCCCCTTAAATATACAAAAATTTCCCACTGGCACCTATTGTTTGACAGGTCGTTGGAATGCCTAATTATGTGTCGAGTTACTCGACACAACAGAATGTCACTACTTTTAACGTCAAACAAAAGAAATTAAATTGTAATTATTTATTAGTTTTTTTGCTTATGGGAGGGATATCCTCATCTATAATTCAAATGACATATGTAAGTTGCCTCGGAGAGCCATGGAAAATAATAATAGTCATCCCTCACCGGGCACAAACAACTCTGCATTCACAGTTGCAAGGATCACATATTTTTATTTATTATTATTAGGCTAAAGAAAGGATGAGTTACAAAAAAGAAACGATCCTTTTGAACTTCCAGAAAATCGTCATGGAGAACTTTTTCAGCTGAATAAAGAGAACTTTTTCAATATGTATAATAAATACGAGTAGTCAATTCATTGATATTCTAAGGATATAAAAGACCTCTGTTGCACGATAGGTTATCCATAAAAGGAATTGCCAGAGACATAGGTATGCCCTGGAAACTAAATTCCTTTCTTCCCTAAAATTTTAAACCACAGGCTTATTATTTAACGTCATTGACAGGTCATACCTAATGTCAGGATAATCCAATTTTAACGATTGATAACGAATCGACTACTCGTTAAACGGAATTGCTTGTATGGAGTTTGATATCAAATTCGAGTCGAATCGTGAAACGGAATCCCACCCCAGGAAATGATAAGTATTACTTACTCGATTACTCATTTTTGTCATAAATAATATCTTTCTTATAGAAACCGGCAACGTAAAATTGAGACATGACAATGCGGTTTACTCTTAATCATTATTTGTTTAACTTTAGGAGACAAACAAAAGCATGCATATGTCTACATATACACATCGTGATGTATTACACAAAATGCCAGCCATACACGCATTTTTCATTGTATCCTCATCTGCTTTTTGTCTTTTTTAAAACAAGTGAATCCGGCTGGTTCCATGTGGTTAGAACAACCTGCCCACTTTCCGGATTTGTCCCTTTTTTAAGAAAACATGGAAATACTTGAAATGTTTTATACAGAGAATGTTACCAGAATTCAAAAATGTATGATCTAATTGTGACTTTAATAATTTATTGCTTTTTTTTTAGGTAAACATATAACATTAGTAGCTCACTCGAAGGCCGTAGAGTTGTGTTTAATAGCCGCCAAAGAATTATCCGGTAAAGGTATCGAAGCGGAAGTTATCAATCTTAGGAGCCTCAGACCGTTAGACATTGATACGATAGCAAAGTCAGTTAGCAAAACGAATCATTTGATCTCAGTTGAACAAGGGTAAGTTTTGAATAAAGGACATTATCATATCGTCGGCTTACAGCCAAAACATGATAAGTACATTTTTACCATTTTTGTACCCAAGATGGCTATAAAAATTACTGCAAAACCAGATAAGTTTAGGACAATGGAAAACTACTGAAAAAGGTGGTTTGTTTTGGCAATAATTCATTTTGCTCAAGACTGTACGGCCAAAACAAGTTAAGTGCACATTTAACGAAAAGTCAGAATTTCATAGAGAAAAAGAAAATTAATTCTTCTGGAAAAACAGGTTAAATGCCATTTAACTTATTTTGGCTATTACAATTTAGAAGATCGTTAGAATGCCTATGCGTATATATAAAACGGATAAGTCAATTATCTCATTTTTGCAGTTTATTTTATCGTTACATTAGCATGCTTAGAGTGCAAAACCAAATTCCTAATTTCAGCCAAAATTGGTTAAGTATAGAAAAAAAAATTCGTCTACTAGTTATACATTTGCTAATTATTATTTTTGGTAATAATTATGTTTATAGTACCACAATCTATATTATTTTACCACCTAATAAATGTTTTCTTTCATGAAGTTGTTTTAGTGTAGGTTAAAACTTTTAAACTTGATTTACTCAAAACTAAAAAAATGTAACTTATCTTGTTTTGGCAGTAAGCCGACGATATTTCCCATCCTGTAATTTAGCCCGTATGGTAAATAAATACATATCAATTTTATAGCTGGCCTTCTTGCGGTATCGGCGCCGAAGTCTTAGCCAGGATCATGGAAAGCGAAACGTTCTTCCACCTAGACCAACCAGCTATCAGGATCACCGGTGCTGATGTACCGATGCCCTACGCCAAGTCTCTAGAAATGGCCGCCCTGCCGGTACCCAAAGACATCGTCGATGCGACAAAAAAATTGTTAAAAGTCAAGTAAAACCTGAAACATATTCATTAGGCGCGATATAAAACAGTCATCGATGATTTGTTCCGTTTCCATAATATAAAGAGTGTCAACCGGTCGTTTATTAATAAAATCGTTTTTTTTTTCGTACAGGATAGTTACATAAATAAATAGAGGTGGTCGTAGTAGAAAAAATTTCTAATTCTAGTGATATGTCAAATGTCAGTAAACTTTCAACTGTCATACTTCAGGATATTAAGTGTCGACTATCGAAGTACGTAAGCTGCGGTTGTTCCATTCCTTTTTTTAACCTTAATCGACCTTTTTAGTGTTCGTTTATTCTGATTAGTGACAGTTTAACACTCTTAAGTGGCAGTACTCTAAAAACACTGGTCCTGTCCCTCTTCAGCTATAAAATTGTATTTTTCTTTAAATTATCTAGTTACGTAATCAGGTAGAGATCGTAGTATAAGAAATCTAAGAGTTATTTCCATAAATCGTCTATTTAAAATAGTGTCACTAGTTACTTTTCATGGTTAGTGTGTTCAAGTTAATTATGGAACACGAATGATTACGACATGTCAGAGTTAATAGCTATAACGTCAAAAAAAAAACAGAATGACCAACAAAAAACAATAGTTGTTTTGTTTCTGTCAAATGTCTTCAATTTTCAGTGACTGTAATTTGTTAGGATTTATGTTTGTGGAACGCATTTAACATAACCAGGTTATCTAAGACGTATTACCAAAAACACTCCTAGTAAGAATATGTCAAATATGAATTATTGTCCAGGATATTTAGTGTCAAAGTGCATAAAATGTTTGTTTTCATTGAACTGACTGGTTTCGTAAGTAGGTAGATGTCATCGTGGTAAAGAAAAATGTAAATCCAGTGACAATAGTTCAAATGTCCCAAACCTTTTAAGTGACAAACGTCAGGATATTAACGTAGATTTCTAACAAATAATTACCAATTTCTCCAAGATCGCTGAAATCTTAAAACTAGTAATATTATCTTTGAGTTGATGTATAACTGTCAATTGTCAAAGGACGTAAAATTGTATTTTTTTTTCGAACTGTAGTTATGTAAGTTGATTGAAGTCATTGTTATAGAAGCAACCTGTGAGTCTAATGAATGTATGTCAAATATTAGTAAGCTTCAATTCTCAAACGTCAGGATGTTAACCGTCATTTGTCAAAGTATGCGACGTTGACGTCTTTTTATTAGCAAACGACCGGTTTGGAAACGGAACAATTATTTCATTTATCGCAATCATCGACATTAAGCTCTGCAAGGAAGAATGGTTGTTTATAAAAAAGACGTAGATTTTGACGGTAGATAAGGTTGGGTTTCCAGAGCATTAGGTGAAGAGTTGTGCTTTTATCAGAGGATCAGACGGAGCACTGGTTTTTGATAAATACGTGTTTATTTTATTACAATTTTTAAGGTAAACGTTTATAAACAATTATATATTATTTTTATTATAATTACTCTTGTTTATTTATGCGTTTGATGTAGTAAAGTGTTAATGATTGAAATTCTATTTTTAAATAGAAATGGTTTATGTCAATCATCATATGTCAGATGTCAAAAGTCAAACGTTAGATTCAAACTGGCTGATATTTGAAGGCGTCGCAATATTTTTAAAATTTTTCAATATATTCTTGAACATCAAAGCACTTTGTTTAAATTGGTGTTATTAATTAAAGTTCCTTTGCAGTAAGAAAAAGTCTGACAATTTAGAATCGCAATTTATACAATTTTTCTAGCGTGAAGACGCGTTTTAACTTTGGAACGGTTGCTTTTTTTGAGCTAATTCGGGTTTTATTTTTCTAATTGATAGTTCTAATTTGTCCAAAGAATAACATAACATGGCGGGGTTAATAGTTTGACCATTTAATCAGAATAACAGTACATCGAATTACAAAAAATCATCATTACCCTCCTGACTGATGATTTTACCAGTGTTTTAGCTATTTTACACTATACAAGTTATTGTTTATTTCATTGAGAGGGTGATTACACATATTGATCAAATTTAGCATATTTACTAATGACTCATGTCGCATGTCATATGACCACCACAGTTTTGATGAAAAAAAAAATCAAAAATTTCCGACTCCATCCAATAGAGAAATTTTTAAAAACTATTTGTTAATTTTTTATAAATTTCTGATGAACATTAAAAGTTTCATGTGTTTTTTTTTATCTGTCATAAAAACCCTGTCATGTGATACATCAATCGACGGAAAAGCATTCGACCCAAATTTACGCCCTTTTTTCTGGAAAATGCGCTTTCGGCATCGGGAAAATTTCGATGCCAGATGGTCAAGAATGTTGAGCATTACAGACAAATTTTTAGTTTTGAACTTCTCTTCGATATTCGCCAAACTTATTTTTTCTTAACATATACTTTCCATCCTAACTTGGGATCAAGAGTCGTGCCCAGTGTTGTTCTTAGGGATTTTTGAATTGTACAACTTTTAATGTCAAAATTGTACACTTTTATGTTCGATTGTACCAACCACTAATTAGTCTACTACTTCCCGATGCTTAAAATTCTTATTTTTTTCCAGTTTAAAAAATGTTTCCGATGTAAAACGGTGTACTGATTGGTCGCGAATGGCGCCAAATTCAAACATTATTGTTTTATTAATTTTAATGCATACGATTTACGATATACCAGATTTTACATAAATATTTAGCAACTTCAAATTGTACAACATTTCTACCTTTTTCAAAAGTGCGTACAACCACATAACTGATTGTACAACTTTTTGTACAACCAGGAACAACACTGGTCGTGCCATTCAGCTAATGAGGTTCAGTCTTTACGTTGATATTTAAAAAGAGAGGTTCTGCTATTTTTTTTTTTTTATTATTATTAGTGAAGTTAACATGAATACACAATTCATTGACCCTGATTCTAAATTGATTGGTCCGTGTAATTAGAGAATTGTTAACAGTTTAAAGTTTTCTTGCTGATCTTTCTTGGTCCTGCTCAACTGCAAAGAGAATAGTATCATCTGCAAATGTAGCTACAGTCATATCTTCCAGAGTTGGCAAGTCTCTAGTATAGAGTAAATGTAAGATGGGCCCAAGAATAATTCCTTGAGGCACTCCAGCTGTTATCTCTTTTAAATTAGAATATTCTTCTTCCTGATTGATTCTGAAAAGCCTGTCTGAGATATATGATGTTATAATCTCTACATATTACTTCGGAAGCATTTTTTTTTTAGTTAGTGGGTCAAACCTTCATGCCAAACCTTGTCAAAGGCTTGGGCAATGTCTAAAAATACTTCAAGGGCATGCTCTACGACATCCGTGATTCTATGCACTTGGTCAATAGTAGAATGGTTCTGTCGAAATCCGAATAATTGGAAATCGGGTTTCAATTAGAGATGAAACTATCCGGTATTCGGCCTATCCGGCCTAAATTTAATATCCGGCCGGATGGCGGATAGTAGCTTAATATCCGGCCGGATACCGGATATTCAACAATTACGACACAATTCGTGACAATTCCCTGAAATCAACTTTAATACATAAATCTTTTTGTGGTAAATAATAATAATTATTAATAATAACAAAATGTCTTAAAATGATGATTTGCTTTTATTTAAAGCTGAAAAAGTTACAAAAACACAAAAAGTCACAAAGAACAAAAAAATAACCTTCTTCTGAAAACCTAAAACTATCTTTTAATAGTCAAAATTAAGAAGTGGTAAATTATGGTGAATAAAGACCAATTTTTTAGAGTTTGCAGGCAACAGTCGATTTCGCTTGTTTTCGTACACCAAGCCAGCTTCGGAAAACAATCATTGTGTTTTCATTTGCTACTTCATCAAAACAATTCCAAAATGTGTCGTGAGATTCGCAGGTTACATTTGAATTAGTTTCTCTGACTCTTTTAATAGATATTGGAGACCCCGATGAACTACCGCTGTTAGAAGACGCGTCGCAAGTCATTTTTAGGTATTCCAATAAGATCTTCTGTCGCGCTCTTTCGGCTTCAACTGCTCCCAAATAACCTAACACTGACGTACCTGCTTTTTTTTCCTTCACCACGAGAAATTTTAACCTGGCACAACAAACAATAAGCGAACTTATTATTTTCCTTATCTGTTTCAAAATATTGCCAAATAGGTGATATTTTTTTCACCATTGACATGTTTTAATTGTTTTCTACGACGCAGATCACGTAGCAACCAGCGAGCAAACCACTGATTTTCCTTACAATGGCCGCACGATCTTCCTCGGCCTGCTAATCACGTTCGCTGCGCCTGCGCGACATTCGAATCCTCACATCAGGCGCTAGACGTTGGGCCGGATATTCGGCTATCCGGCCTTTAAGCTCGCCGGATATCCGGTATCTGTTATCCGGCCAAACAACTATCCGTTGCATCTCTAGTTTCAATCTTATACCTTCTATCAGAAGTTTTAACCTCTAGCAATAATTTTTCAAATAAATTTGACACAATTTGTATGAAAGAAATAGTTTTTCTGGCTTTGGCAACATTATTACCTCTGCAACTTTCCAGTATGCAGGAACATGTTTCAATCTAAAAGCTACATTAAACAAGTATGTCAGTATTACAATACCTTTTCTAGATAGACAATTATTTTTTCAAGATTTCACCAGTAATTAAATCAAAGCCTATAGTGCTTTCTTCGGATTAAAGTTAGTTTTAATCTTTTCTGCTATTTCTTTCGATGTAATAAGGGTGATGATTTCGGATTTTTAATTGTCCATTATAAGTAAATGATTATTCTTCCTGCTACTAATTGGGTGTAAAACTGTCTGATAAATTGATAAATACTCAGTAAACAAGTCTGCTCAGGGCCGACGAGAGTGAAGGGATAGGAGGGAGCAATTTCTGGGGCTCGGCAACTTTAGTTGAGGACGTTTTTTTTTTTTAGAAGTTCGTCACAGAAGGGAAGACCTGTTTTACGACAAATACAAGCTGAGGACTTTTTTTCTTATAAAAATGTCCCGGGGCCCACAATGGCTCTTGGCGGGCCTGAGTCTGCTTTCTATTTATTTTCCCTGTCCCATACTCCGTTATCTCTCTTAATGAGAAGGATGAAGCTAATAGGTCTTTTAATTTTTCTTATGGCTTTTCACAAAGAGTAATCTGTGTCTTCATCTGGCGAGAGGTCCTGTAGGTATGAGTTCGTTGATTCTTCTTTGAGCTTTTAAATTTCTCTTCTCAGCTTTTGAGTTTTATTATTTAAAATGGTTTTATCAGATGGGTCTCCAGATTGTTGCCATCTTCTTTCTTCTGTAACATGTTTTCTGATCTCAACTGGTTAGTATAGGGTTAGGGACTGCAACCAGACGAATTTGCCTGGTTAATAATCTATTTAGACTTAGAAATATGTTATAAAGGAGAGACAGAAGTTGGAAAGGTTTTTGGTAGGTAAAGAGGTGAAGTTATTTTTGTTTTTTATGTTTTAA